ACCATGGATCTCAGGCTGGATTCACATGGAGCGTCTCGTGAGATACGAGATTTATGATTCATGACGCCGAGAGAAATACACACCTCGAGACCTGCGGTTTTTCTCGGAGGTTCACGTTGCGCAATTAAATAATGAGAAAATAAACAGAGATGAAAAAGCCACCCTTAGAGACTCTTTAATGTACCGGGCTAGAGGTGACACGGAAACGAGGCTAATTAAGTTTGGCAACGAAAGGTACGTTACATTATCGGGCAAGGGCATGCGTTATCTTCCTAACCTAGCAACGCTTTTACGAATGATAATAATCGCGCTTCGTGCTCTCGTAGTGTCTCTTTAATTCGAGCGCAACGTATATCGAAACTTTGCGTTTTATGAACGTTAAAATTCTACATGGCGTCCACCTTTCGGCGCCCTTTTCTGTTATTGTGCCAGTAATATCGTTGGTGTTACGCACGAACGCTTGTTTTGTACGCGATTTCTACCTTGCTTCTCGTTTAAGGTAATTTCGAGTCTTATATATAAACGTTACATCAGCTGTGTTACAAACAAATTTAACAACTACGGCGATAATATCTTAATCTCGTTGTGAATAAAAGTTTTTAGTGCAGCTTAATATGATTACATTACGAGGGAAGCTCAAGAAGGACAATGACATAGCGAACTCAAAGAACTACAACAGGCGAGTCTCGATACGAGATAAATTACTGGTCAAAGAGGTCAGTTTGATATAATATTTCTTATCCGTGTGTCGCGGCGATGTCGCACGACTTCTAATTGCGCTCGTGCTGGATCGGATGTTTTCTTACAGGTACAGGAGATGCAACAGACCTTGCCGATAACTTGTCAAGTCACATTCGAGGATCCGCATCGTCTTCACGAATTTAGCCTGCTAATTGTACCGGATGAGGGATACTGGATTGGCGGCCGTTTCTTCTTTCAAATCTGTATAAGTGAAGATTACAACATGGCGGTAATTTTCAAGTTTATATAAGGCCCGGTCTACAATGAGTTGTTAGTCAGAAGTCGGAACTGTATGTCGGTCCTTTTTCTTCCACCCAGAAAGGAAAAGGATCAACATATAGTTGCGACTTCTGACTAACGACTCATTGTAGACCGGGCCTAAGCGATGCGGTGCAACGTTGCGGTAATTTTATACAGGGCGCGTTCCGTATTTAACGTTTAGTGAGTAACAAGAATAAATAATCTGTACGCGCGTCATGCATGGCGTGGAAAGCATCCATGAGCTCACATTCCGAGTTCTCTTTTATTGATAAATTTTATAGGCGGACAGCAGCCTTCTTGGGTTGAACTCGAGAACTCACAGAGAACTCTCGTCGCGCATTTTGCGAGTGCTTTGCGAGTTCCCTGCGTATGAGAAATCTCGGGGAAATCGCGGAACTCGCAGAGAACTCTCGCTGTGAATTTTGCGAGTTCCCTGTGCATGAGAACTCTCGGGGAACTCGCAGAAAATCTATATACATCAATGTCGGAAGTGAGGACCCTAAACTACACAATTGCCCGAAAATAATCGTAAGAATTTAAAGTTAAACAAACAATCGTGTACCTACGTGACGAATGGTTCGTCGCTAAAATTTACTTTGAGCCCTTCAAAGCAGGTTACTATCTGTCCTCTCCTTACGCCGTGTCGCAGTGAACTAATGGTTCGCGGTGGCTACGGTGGTGCGTCCCTACATTCTCATGGCGTATTGCTGAGTGTGCGCTTGTGCGCGATAGTTTTTCTGTTATAACTCTTGTGACAACCTACCCGTGTGACCATCATACCCGGTCTCCTCTATCGTGTGCCGTTGGCTTTAATTGTGATGCTTCTAGCATCACTATTAAGATGTAAGGGAAAGAAAGGGATGAAAGGAAAAGCAAAGAGAAAGAGTGAGTGAGTGAGTGAGTGAGTGAGAGAGAGAGAGAGAGAGAGAGAGAGAGAGAGAGAGAGAGAGAGAGAGAGAGAGAGAGAGAG